AACTACAAAGTATACTGGCCGCGGACTTATTTGTGCAACGCACAACTCTCTTTGCCGTTTTAGCGTGCGATCAGTTACCCGCGCGTCTCGATAGAACGAAGCAAGCGGCATTCATTATCAATCTAGATTCGTCCTCGGAGGCAGGGAGTCATTGGGTTGGTCTATTTTTCAACGGACTATCGCAATTTACTTATTTCGATAGTTTTGGCTTACCACCCCGGGAGCCGGCCATTTTGTCTTTTATAAAAAATAATTCAAACAGACCACTCGTTTACAATTCAAGAGTGTTACAAGATATTCTAACCAACAGTTGTGGGCTATATGCAACCTATTTTGTTTTGAAGAAAGCTCGAGGTGCAAATTTAAAAGTTATATTACAACCCTTTTCAGCGTCAGCGAGTCGTCAATATATTAACGATCGTATTATAACACGTTTAACACTTCAAATTATTGGAACTAATTATAAAAGATTATTTCAAGATGTCTAATGAAGATTGGATACTTGTGGCCAGGAGTAACAATAAAGTGACGGAAATACGAACGATGAATCACACCGGATTTAAATTGGCGATTGTTAGCCAATTCATGAACAAAAACACTTTAAATCTTAGAGAGCTTATAGATGGGACCGATCTTAATTTTCCTACAAATTCTGGTGTTAGTATGAGTCGCGTCTGCTTTGAGCGCCTGTTGAGTTTACAGGATGAAATTTTAAAAGCCTTTGATGAATTGGAAAAACGTTAATAAACAAATAAAATATAAGAAGAGTTTTGTTCTAATTTAGTGTGTGTGTGTGTGTGTATACGTTTAACATACTCGTACCAGAAACTTAAAAACCCATGACACTGTACGTTTAAGTGTTAGTGGAAAGTGCGGGACCAGCTGTTACCCAACTAATGCACAGCTGTCGCCTGATGGTTAATGGTACACTGGGTCGAGGCGAGTCGATCAATACATCCCCATTCAAAAACACGCAGCGGCGCGGAGGTTCACGGGCGGATCGATACGTAACAGGTGTTACATGTCTGGTTAAAGGATGTTATTCACAAAGTACAACTAGCACACCCCTACCCTCAAACCCATCATTACTCCCCCTCTCCTCCCCTCAACCACCCCTCTCCGTTTACTATTAAACACACATACAAAGAAATCAAATAAACAAACCCCATGGTGTGCCACCACCACCACCCCCAGGTCACCACTACTCCCCCTCTCCCCCACTCTTCTCCACCCCCCCCACCCCCACTGCTCCACCACCAGGTGGTGGGAGTATTTTACTATATGTCTTTGCGCATCCCGATCCGAGTATTTTACTATATGTCATTGTACCAGGCTGGGGGAGTATTTTGCTATATAACCTTTGCGCATCCCAAATGCGGTCCAAAAGTGACCTAATATACTACTTGTCTCTCTTTGAGTTGTCCTGTTGTCTCCCTTTGAGTTGTCTGCCTTTGAGTTGTCCTGTTGTCTCCCGTTGAGTTGTCCTGTTGTCTCCCTTTGAGTTGTCCTGTTGTCTCCCTTTGAGTTGTCTCCCTTTGAGTTGTCTTGTTGTCTCTCTTTGAGTTGTCCTGTTGTCTCCCTTTGAGTTGTCTGCCTTTGAGTTGTCCTGTTGTCTCCCGTTGGGTTGTCCTGTTGTCTCCCTTTGAGTTGTCCTGTTGTCTCCCTTCGAGTTGTCCTGTTGTCTCCCTTCGAGTTGTCCTGTTGTCTCCCTTCGAGTTGTCCTCTTGTCTCCCTTTGAGTTGTCTTCTTGTCTCCTTATTTTTATTTGCTGTCTCCCGTTGTCCCCCTTGGTTCTCTTAATTTCTCCCTTATGTTTCCATATCTTATGTATGCTCATTCTGGTTTAGCTGTCTCCCGTATTTTCCTTTTCTGGTCTGTTTATATTCCTCATGGACAGGCTTCTGTGAGATTTTGTTGTTTACCAACACCATGTAATATCTTCGTGTTTCATTGTGTTTTTTTATTAACTCTATTTGGTCCGCTTATTTTAATTTTGTCCAGTCTTCTTTCTCTTCTCTTTATTGGGCTCTCCTGTTTCCTTCGTTGTCGCCTCTATTATTTCCCTTGAACTAACGTGTTGCCTCCCTTGTGCTCTTATATTGTCTCCCTTGAATGTTTTTCTACGTCTAATTTATCACTTCTACGCAACATATTTCAGCATCGATTCCTTTTTTAAAATTTAGCAAACCGTTTTGAACTGTCACGCAAGAGAAATTTAAAAAATATCTTACCGTTAATTATCTGGTAAACTTTCAGCCAAATACGCTGCGTAGGTGTAGAATTTAAACAGTTAAAAAATATTTAATTTGTACAGCAGGTGTTAATGTTTAAATCATGTCCGCGGAAGTGTTGTTCATTGGTTTACTAAAAGAGCTAAAGATCAATTATACCTACAACATTGGCGATACAATTTTTTAGATGATATGTTTGTTGAATCCCACTCTTCATTCCTAAATACTTTTTTTTTGCGTTTTCATTTTTTTATTTAATTTGCCTCAGATGTGTAACTTAACAGTTTGTTTAAGGATTCGTTTTTTTAAATGTTTGTAATTCGTGATACAGATTTACAATATTATTCTATCTTTCAGACATGTAGGTTTACTTATCACTCACGTTATATATATATATATATATATATATATATATATATATATATATATATATATATATATATATATATATATATGCATACCACAAAGCTTCGAGTCTTGTATTTTTAAACTTGCTGAAATCTCTCCTTAACAGAGGAACAGGGCATTACCCCCCCCCCCCCCCGACAGGGTTAGGTCTATGGCTATGGCTTGGGTTATGGCTAGGGTTAAGGTTAGGCTTAAACCAATGTCTAGTTTTGGTTTTGTGTTAAGTTTTAGGCTGAGGTGGATGCTTAGGTTTTGGTCTTTTTCTTAAGGTTAGGATTAAGGTAATATATAAGTATTGATATCTAGTTAGAGCTAGGATTCTAACTTGAGGGGGGGGGGGGGCGTAATTCCCCGGGAGTAATTTGACAGTGGGGGGTAATTGCTCCGGGGGGGGGGGGGGGGTAAATACGGGGGGGATGTCCTGTAGCCCTTTAACAGATAGTTGTGAAGTAAATGTGACAATCTGAAGAACTTAAAAGAAATACAATTTGTTTTGCTTTAAATTTTCCTTTTTCTCTAAAAACCTGAAAACGTTGTACAAAACCAATATGTAATGTTAAGTCAATGTTGTACATTCATTGTTAGAAGAAATAAGGTTAATGTTCAAAACAAAACAAATATAGTTTTTGAAAATTATATATATATTTTATTTAAATATAAAAGGTAGGCATGGTCAAGTATAAAGAATAAAAATACATTATTATAAAATTACAATATAAATCATTGGCACACGCTCAAAGTGTTATGGGAAGGATAAATGCTTGTACAATGATTTGTGGTGATCTACTGCTTCTTCCACGCATTGATCAGTTTGGTTTATTTTAATTAATAGATAAACAAGAGTTACGAGTTATGATTATTGAGCAGGATGGTATTACAGCTTTATGTGTGGGGCGGGGGATAAAGTATATGTGGAGGTAGGGGTTAAAGTATGTGTGTTGCTAGAGGTAAAGTGTATGGGGTGTGGGTATGGGGGAACAGTGGGGTTTGAAGTGTGTTTGTGTGTAGTGTCTGAAGCATATGTGTGGAACGGGTGAGGTGTGTGTGTGGGGGGGGGGGGGGGAGGGTGGAGTAGGAGTGTGCGGTTGGGAATATTGAAATATATATGTATGGCTGGATTTAAAAGCGAGTGTTTTTTTTAATCTATGTGTCAGTGTGGAGTGGGTGGGTGGGTGTTAAAAGTGAATTTGGTGGGGTGGGGGTCATGCTGCAGAATGTATTTGTTATGAAATCATATCCAACATGGGAATAAGTCAAAGCTCAACAAAGTGGGAGTTAATAGGGTGGAAAAGTTACTCTCTAAACTAAAAACTTGTAAAGGGGAGGTAATGATAATCACCACGGTAGTAACAGCAACTCTGTCTTCTTGCAGAAAAAAGCAGAGTACAGCAAGGTAGTCAGATGGTGAAGTAGTGGCAGCTACAGATAAAGACAAGAAGTGTCATCACTAGGTAACTAAAAAAAATTTGCATTTTCACTTTGGTGATTTTATTATTTTAACTTGATAAATCATCTTGACTGTAAATGCTGTAACTTGATATGGACAGCCCCCCACCCCATCTTGTGACGCAACTGTGGACAAGTATAAAATACGTGAGCAATATAGTTATACAATTCAAATTTCTCATATAACATTGATACACTGATAAGCCTGTGGGTTATATTAAAAAAAAATTATTATTAATAAATACATGTAGGCCTATGTATATGTATAGTTACGTATTAAAAGAAAAAATAGTTTGCATGTTACAACATTCATATGTTCTTTTCTTTGTTTGCCATTAGGAAAATTTACAATCTGTGTCATAAAATGAGATCAAAATAATTCACAGCCAAAAAATGGAGAATCCAAAAATAGCAAATATATGTGTTACTACCTTTTATGGAAACACTATTAACTTTCAAAGATACATCTCGTTATATTTGTAAATAACACATAAATAGTATTTGTCTTCAAAAGATTTTCAAGGAAAAATCAATAAATTCTTTTGGTTCCATAATTTGATATGAATGATATGCTTGATTCAGTAAAATTTACTTAATAATCATGCAATAGCAAGACCAAGTTTGTTTTTCAGTACAAAATAACTTTGAGGATTGCAATAAAGAAAAAATAGCTAAGCAGTTAGCTTATAAAAAAAAATATAATATATATACACAAACATTGTATTATACATCCAGTTAAAATAGCATATGAGATCAACGGTAAATTTTTATAATTGTATACCATGATCTACAATGAAACTCATTGCAAAGTAGCAATTTATAAATAGTAATAAAATCAAATCAGATGATTAATGTAAGTGTAGATCAAAGGCATTTGATTTATTTTCTGTTTTTGTAAAATGTGATTTCAATAAAAAAATCACAAATCTTAACATTTTTCCCCACCACATAAAATATACAATACAAAAATAAATTACATATTTTGGCAAATATAATACATCCCAATTTTTTTTCCATACAGGTAAAAACATTACAGCATCAAAAGTATAAAATGCTGCAAGCTAGGCACTTGGAAAGACAGGAGGAAACCGAAGAGGAAGAAGCTGATTGGTTGAAATTAAGCTCTGGATACAAAGTTAGCTGGGAAAATTCCTTTGTTCCCCCGCCTATCCACACCCTCCCACCAATCATGTTGGCTGGGGGTAGATTTGGTCACTTGGATTTTATCACCTGAAAATAGAAAAAAATCAAAACAAATTTACCTATCATAGTTTGAAGCTAGGTAAACTAACACATGATACAAAGCAGATCTAGTATAGAATTCTACAAATATTATGTTAAAAAGGGAACTATAAGTTGCATACTCATGTTTTATAACAGAAAAAACAATAGGCCTACATGATATACAGTTGTATTTCAGTTGATTTAAACTAAATAGACAAAGATACACAAAAAACTTACAGTAGAGAAAAACAAAATTTAATTAATTCAACTGACTTCAAATTATGTAATGTTTTTTTTTTTAGATCTAGTATTCCCATAGATGCAGGTCTGAATTAACCACAGGACCTTAGGCACTCACCTGCAGAGAACTTTAAATCACAGGGCAGCTGTCCATCAAAATTAAACTCTGCGATCACATAAAACTTCTCATCAAGAGAACTTTTCCTGCTGGGTTCGGAGTGTGACGACTTCATCCGATCCATGTCAGACCACGGATACAGTGACTGCTGTGTTGCCTCCGCTGATGGCTGCTGTTTCATATCCGCTTCCAGCCATGGATCTTTAGCGGCCGCGGATGTTGTTGAGGTAGCTGCAGGTTTACTTGTTGTTGTTATTGTTGGGCGAGATAGTGGAAATTTTGGAGGCGTGGCGTGTGAGTCGGATTTTTTAGACTTGAAATTAAAACTGTCGTACTGTAAAAAAAATATTGTTGGGATTTGAGATTTTCTTATAAAAAGCATACAATTTTTTAATACATATAATATTGCAATCACAAAAAGTAGTTTCATTAAAATACATTTATATTTTTAAAAAAGTTTTAAAGACAGTCTGAAAAAAAAACTTGTATGAAAATGATTACATGTAATTTTATCTCTCAATTAGATGAACACCACAGGGCAAGAGAAAATGAGGGCAGCCTAAAAAAACAAGATCAATGAAGAAAGAGTTGAAGGAAAGAGGCCTAAGATTGCAACAGGCAGAGGTTATAGCTAGACTAGCTGATGACTCAAGCACAATGAGCATTGTTTATTGATGTCACTAAATATTTCTATAGCCCATTCAATTATTTCTTTAATTTAACTTCATATTAAATATGTGAATCTTAATAAGCAACCACTTAATAAAACAGCTGAAACCTAAATTTTATTTTTGTTTTGTACAATAAATAAACTTTAATTTCTTCTTTTTTTCATGACCATCTTCAACTATTCCCATTCCATGCCCAAGACACACGGGGCAGATGAAGTAGAATTCATCTGCTTCAGGGACCTCGGCATATAAAGGAATAGTGTAATCAGCACTGTGTCCAGTGCCTTTGATTTACCTAACATGAGCTAGGTACCCATCAGAGCAGGGTGGACTCAGGGATGTTCTACTGACTGACATGGATTTGAACTCGAGACATTTGGGTTAGCAGCCTAGCTCTCTACCACTAGGCCACACAATCCCCTTCTTAATGTGTCTACATTGGAACTTTATACAACTACTCCATCATCACACACAAACTGCACAGCTATCTCAGAATTTTGTAATTAGATATATCCTCAAATGGGATGGTGTGGTCTAGTGGTAGAACGTGCATATGCTAACACAAAAGTCAACATTCAAAACCCAGGCATTAGACTAGGTTCTCTTGATTGAACCGACCCTCAACCGTCCAAACCAGGTGGCTGGTTGGGAGAGGATGCAAAAGCCTGGCGGAAACCTATGAGTCTAGTAGCTGGTAACATGGATAAGAGAAATACTTGTTTCTTATCCCTGTTCCAGCCTGCCTGGCTTATAAGCCAAAGAGCTTGAGCTGACAATGACCTTATACCAGAAAAACCAATGTAGGAAAAAAATAATACACATAGAGAAAATTTATATTTATGTATAAATCTACAATTAAATATACTTACAAATCTTGGGCGGCTTTCGCTTGACCTTTCACCTTCCACATATTTACTAGCCTGATTTTTGGCCATCTTGACCACTGCGCTGATGGCGATGTCGTGGTGCTCTCGTAAAACCTCGTAAAGTGCCTGACACTCATCTGGACGATCTACTTCACCATTCAAGATCTGGAATGCTCTGACTTCTCTGCCGTAGAACCTAAAAATAAAATTATTCTTTAAGAACTTTCAGTAAAAACCAATTCCTACAATATCTTTAATGGCCCACAAGTAATTGTAGACTAGATTGTACGGTCCTGGTTAGATTTAATCAAAGAAATAATTGCCAGAGTGTCAATATTGTAGTGTGATCTTAAAAACAAACAGGGGTGCCATAGTGTTCACAGAGCCTGGGGAGCCAAATCCCACCCTGCCAGGGCGTGCCCCTGCAAAATTGAATTTTTTTTTGCCACAGAAACCTTCCCTGGAGTTTTCTCATCAGCTCCCCAGTTTCATAGTGATCAGGCCATGCCCACAAACAAACCCACATACTTTAATTTTTTTTTTTAGAGACAACAAATTACTTCAATATATGTATGTGTATGCCAAGGTCTATATGTAAATTGAAATTAATCTAGTTAGAAAACATTATATACATTTTTAAAAAAAAATACGTTTATTTCCAATTAAAACAAGTAACATCAACATGTGTGTGAGTGCATTTTTCTGTAGTAACATTATTCCCCCCCCCCCCCCCCCCCCGGGACATGTAATTTACAGCATTACTTTGCCTTGCATGTTCGCTTTAGTATTACAGTTTTCATCATCAGCTTGTGAGGACTGATACAGATTTACAATAGTAATAATTCTTTCTTACTTGTAGCATACTTTCATTCATTTAAGATGGTTTACTTATACATGGAACTATATAAAACTTCTAATTACAATTTTATTTAGAAAAAAAAAACCCAACTTAAAATGCAAATGTTTAGATCTGATTAGAAGGAAAAATCCAGTTAATCATCATTTAATTTAACATTAATTACTTCTGGTTTTTTTTTTTTCTTCTTTCTTCTGTATTTGTTAATTTCTCAAGATAATTTTTTAAAACTGCTAAGTCTCAGAATTTTACTGATTGTTATAGCGTTTGTTGTGATTGAATCAAAATAACATACCTATGCATTTAAATATACTTAAAACACAACAAAGCTACAAATTGTTTATTACTTGCAAATTAATTAATTTTTATTGTTATTTATGCTGTTTAAGCACAAATTGAATATGGTGGTGGATAACTGTGATTGATAGAACTGCATCACTAATAAAGTTTAATTAAAACCTAGTTGAATTGCTTAGATGTTTACAGATTCAGCATTTAAGAAAGCTAACAGTGTTTAATTTAAACTAAAGTTATGGGATTATTCTAAAATTTAAGAATTGTCAAAGATGAATAAAGTGTAATAATAATTGTTAATAACCATGTTTAGTAACATAAATAACAACAATGCCCGAGTTTATTTTATAACTTTTGAATTTCTTGAGATTTTTTACAACTTTTAGCTATATAATTAAAAGTTGTCTCCCTTAATTTTTCAATTTATAAATGAGAATTAGTTTATAGAAATTAGATTTCAACATAAAACAATTTTTGTTCAACTTTTTTTGTCTAACCTTATTAAACAATGATGCAATACATTATTATATTAATTTAGAATATTACTGATTTAGAATATAATATAATATATAAAATGACAAACTTGAACTAATGCAATAGAAGAATTGAAAACTAACAGATATGTACAATACAAAATACACACACACACACACATATATATACATATATATGTATGTGTATATATATATATATATATATATATATATATATATATTAATATATATATATATATATATATATATATATATATATATATATATATATATATATATATATATATATATATATATATATATATATATATATATATATATATATATATAAATATATATATTTGTGTATATATATATATATTTGTGTATATATATATATATATATATATATATATATATATATATATATATATATATATATATATATATATATATATATATATATATATATATATATATATATATATATATTTGTGTGTATATATATATATTTGTGTGTATATATATATATATATTTGTGTGTGTGTATATATATATATATATATATATATATATATATATATATATATATATATATATATATATATATATATATATTTGTGTGTGTGTATATATATATATAGTATATATATATATATATATATATATATATATATATATATATATATATATATATATATATATATATATATATACATATATATATATATACATATATATAGATAGAATGATGTATGTATAGAAAGAATACAAAGTTTAGAACAAAAAGTTGCGGAATAGAAACTCACTTTTTGTTGGCATCTTTACGTTCTATAAGTGCGCTGCCTTCCACTGAAATGCCAGCAAAGATGCCTTTAGTTTTAGAGTAAGTGTAAATAGCCGCAGACTCCTGATAGCAATGTCGCCTTCAAGATTTCGACCCAAAGGCCCAGCAGCTATGGTGAAATTTCCTCCTAGTGTGAGGTTGCCTCCCTTAGAAAAGGCATCCACAGCTGATCTTGTATTGAGAATGATGACAAAATCTGTGACCTGAAGAATATTAATTACAAAATAAAATGAATGTCAATGCCATATGAAAAATAATTAAGTATAAACAAAAAAAAATATTTTCACAATAATTTTCGTGTCTGTTTCCATTTCTTTATAACATGTATTTTTGGGTCTTCCTTATTTTTATCCTTGTGGATTCCATGAAATGCCTTATCTGGTAATACTGTTACCTGTTTCCTCAATGTATGGCCTATTCCAATCCACCATTTTCTTCACACATTTCTCTCTCGACTCTCCTTTTCCATAAATCAAACACATACAGCAATACAAATATGATATTGCTTGGTTAGGGACGTTGTTAGTTTTCGATTTATGATGTATGTGTTATCCAGAGGTGTAGCGAGGGGGGGGGGGTGCGGACCGCACCGGGTGATACCATTTAGCGGGGTGGCACCAAGGCAAACAATAGTAAAATATATAGAGAAAAACTTGAGGGGGGGGGGGTGTAAAATGAAAATTTGAGTGGGATGCAAATTGAAAACTTGAGGGGGGGGGGTGCAAATCGAAAATTTGAAAGTTTGTTCCCGGGAAGGGTCGCTACGCCTCTGGGGGGGGGGGGGGGGTGACACCATTAAGTGCAGCACCAGGTGACAGCCAACCTCGCAACGCCACTGTGTTTATCAATAACAGATATTAAATGTTATATATAATTACGTAGTAAGACAGTTTTTTTAAATTCAATGTATGATGCCATAGTCTTTGTAAAAAAAAAAACCGTTGGCAGCCTGTGGGTTTATCTTCTTCTTCTTCTTCGTTCTTAATTATAAGTGTTGGGTGGTATCGAGCCTTATCTGCCAGAGGGTTTGAACTCGAGACTTTTTTTTCGAATTTATCAACCATGAGCTTTGCCGACTCGACCATGCTTCCATCACAATTAAGGATTACGTGTCAACTGGTTATGAAATATTGAGGCCATTGACTCCGATTTCAGCCTGCTTTTCTTTTTGGATTTGCTTCCATAGCCTTTGTCCAACCAAGAACAAACTACAAGGCAGCAGTTGTTTGATTTTGGAGTTGGTCTCTCCTAGAAGAGTGGCTGTCCCCAGCCTCATCTGCCCGAGGGTTCGAACTCGAGACTTTTTGGTTTAGCAACCATGAGCTTTACCGACTCGACCACGCCGACCCCTTATTAGATGGGTTTATTAGATTCAAGGCTGCTATAAAGAAGATTTCTTACCTCCATTCCAATTTCAAATCACCGCCCAATCCTGCCAGAGCTATGGCTGATGGTGCTGACCATTCTAAAAAAAAAGAAAAATCTTTAAAACAAAAAACCCTCACCAATTAAAACAATCAACAAATTTTAAAAAGAAAAAAAAAAAACAAACAATTCATATAAAACAATAGTTACATTATTTCTCTTGACCATTGAATATAAAAAATAGCCTCATTGTGTTTCTAATCCAAAGGTAATTGGTAAATATGGTAGCAATGTGCAGCATTGGTGATTTAGTAAATAATGGCTCATTATAATTTAAAGTACAAACACTATTCAAAATAAATAGAATCAACACATTATAATAAGTACAGCCCAATATATCCTGAAACTTAAAATTTTTGTGATGGTTTTAACTGTAAACACTTTCAGTTATTACAACAAACTGAAATTCTTTATTTGTAATTTTTTTTTAAGTAGGATTTTTATTTACAAATAAAAACAAATACATCAGCATTTGTGGTGTTTGTGTAGTCTGTGCCAGCCATATTTGAACATTTACAAAAAGAAAAACTAAAAAAAAAAAGATTTTACACAATGTGTTTCAGAAGAAATGAAACAAAAGACAAAATAATAAATGCTGTACTACTTAAGTACTTTGACAACAATAGCCTTTTGCCCTAATAAATGTAATAGGACTTATAAAGATTAATGTAATAAAAAACGATAAACAAATAGTTGTAAAATAACTAATAATGGTCAAGTTGTGAGGGTGTAACAATTAGCAAATTAGTCAGGAAAAAGAAGGGTTGCTTGATGTAAAGATTTACTGTGGTAATGATTTTGAAGGCCAATTATACTCTAGTTGGTAGAAATAACATTTGGTTGGAAATTAATTAAAAAGATTGACGCTACTTTACAGAACCAACTTGGATGAGGAGGGGGGTTGAAGTGGGGTTGGTGGGATACTACCCCCACTGGATTGTTTTCAGGGTCGTTAAATTGTTACATTCCGGATATATTGGTCCCTTTTTGTCATAAGGCTTGCTGCAATACTTGATATTTTCTTCTTCTTCGTTCTTAATTTTTTAGGGTTGGAAGGGATTCCCTCCAATACAATTAAGTATACGTGTCAACTGGTTATGCGCCATTTAGGCCATTGACTTTGATTTCAGCCTGCTCTTCTGTTTCGATTTGCTTCCATAGCTTTTGTCCAACCAAGAACAAACTACAAGGCAGCAGCTGTTTGATTTAGGAGTCTCTCCTAGAGGAGTTGCTGTCCCCAGCTATCAAGGATCATCTGCTCTAGGGTTTGAACTCGATACTATTCGGTTGAGCTTTACCTACTCGACCACTCCGATCCCCTTATACTTGTCATAAAGCCCAATACACTTATGTTGACAGAAAAATTGTAAAATCTGAATACTTAATACTACAAAAGTACAAATTATAACTAACATACAATGGATTTCAATTAGACATACTTTAACTTTAAAATAAACAGGGAGTGATCTCCCCTAAACTTTCTCGAATATTTTTATATAATACTATGAGGGATGGCAACTCGGAATATAGACATGATTTTTAATCCATTTTCAATTACTTAAACTTTTAAAAATAGATTAGAATCTATAAGAAAAAAGAATTGTGCACCAAGTGAACGCCAAACATTATGTGTAGAATAGTGTGGAATATTATTAGTACTTTATAAATTCACATGCGTTTTTTGAGAAATCGGAAATAGTGTAAATTACTACTTCCGATCAACGGAAACTACTCAAAATTTGAAAGAAGGCAGAGAATTAGATCTTTTACTAACAAGTGAAATTTCATTTACCTATCTGAAACAGTACTCAAGTTATAGGCTATTCAAAAACTAAAAGTAGAATAAGCCCCTCTTCCGGTTATCGGAAATCACTGAAAAGTTGATACAGAACTACAAATTGGATATAATACTTATGTGAAATTTCATCAACATAGCTGTAACAGTACTCAAGTTATCATGTTCACATACACGGACAAAACAAAACTGTTTATCAGACTGAGGTTGGTGGACTGAGGTAGGTGTAAAACCTCAAGATTTGTAAAAATCTCAATTTTTATTAATTGCACTATTACAATACTTCCTCTATACTTCATAGAGGAGAAAGTATAAAAATCTGATATTCAAGAATTTCTAAAATGACTTAATAAATAAGTTAATGAAACATTAAAAAAAGTTATTAATGAATAATTTTAACTGTGTTACTAAATTATATTTTATCTTCAGGTTTGAAAAAAAAAAACCTGCAATCCCTGTCTTAATATGACAGTAAATTATCAAATTTTTACTATTAACTTACTTCTATTACTTTATTTAAATTAATACAAAGTTTAAAGTTTAATCAATTTTACATTTTTTTTTAGATTTTGTTAAGAAGTGATCTCCCTTGTTTGAATCAATGACTGGGCTTACCTCCACTCTCTGGGTCATCATTCATCTTTGCTATGACAATGCCACTCCCCCCTCTGGCAGTCACAAGAAAGCCAGCTTTAAACACTGTTATTATGGCTAGACCTTTGGCCTTCAACAGAATTCCAGCTGGGGGATATATCATCATCATAATCATTTCTTGTTCATGCCTACATGAAGTAGAGTTTATCTGTTTCAATTATCTTACCCTAAAGGAGGATAGTATGATTAGTACTATGCCCAACAACCTTAGTTTCTCAAATGCGCGTCAGGGAAGTTCTACTGACTTGAGTTCAGGATCCGAACTTGAAGCTGCTGGGTTAGTATTTGTGAGCTCTATCTATCGATCATTCCATACCATGGAAAATATATTATTAGGTAAAAGAGGGTGCTGGGAGTTTGCTGGATGTTTTGGGCAATAGTTTTTTTTAGGCTAACAGCCATTAAGCAATCATCTTTTAGAAAATGGCTTCTAGCTAACCGCAGTGTCAAGTGTTTTTTTTCAAGCTAAGCTTATACAGCAACAGACATAATATATGACATATCTAAACATAATACTGCTGTTGGAGAATTTCTTTATTAGCCATATCTACCAGGCCTATTTGTATATCTATATCATATTATATATAATATGTATATTTATAAACATCAAATGGAATCCTGAAGTCAAACAGAAGAAGACAGTCCCAAAATAATTTGAGGTATATACACCATTAAAAGAACATGGGGCAGATACAACATTAAATTAACTTGAAGCAGATATGCCATTGAAAGAACCATGGCAGATATACCATTAAAAGAAACTGATGTAGATATACCATTAAAAGAAATTGATATAGATATACCATTAAAATAACATGGGGCAGATACACCATTAAAAGAACATGGGGAGATACACCATTAAAAGAACATGGGGAGATACACCATTAAAAGAAATTGATGTAGATATACCATTAAAAGAACATTGGGCAGATACACCATTAAAAGAACATGGGGAGATACACCATTAAAAGAAATTGATGTAGATATACCATTAAAAGAAATTGATGTAGATATACCATTAAAAGAACATTGGGCAGATACACCATTAAAAGAACATGGGGAGATACATCATTAAAAGAAATTGATGTAGATATACCATTAAAATAACATGGGGCAGATACACCATTAAAAGATCATGGGACAGATACACCATCAAAAGAACATGGGGCAGATATACCATTAAAAGAACATGGGCAGACGCATCATTAAAATTGGAACCCACATAAAGAGCAAATCAGGGCAGAAAACTCATGAAAGCTAAAGTTAGTAATTCAAAAGATATATTGCTGCCCATTCCAGAATGACCCTACCACACCCTTATTTTAGCAAAACAGTTAAAAAAAAAAACACCCTTTAGCTAACAGAAAAGCAATGGCACTAATAACAAAGCCTATATATAATATATGCAAAGGAAAACCTAAGGCTTTAAAACAAATATACCTGGTATTAATTTATCTGGTCCTGTTTTAGCATTGGGGATGGTAAATTCTCTGAGTATCTTGGCAGCTTTCTTTGCTTCTGATTTCAAGCTGTGGGGGATTGGTGTGTTGACCATTTTTGCTTTCTTGATTCACTAGTGTTAATTAATGCTGAAAATTTAATTATGTCGTTAAGTTAAATTGTAATTTTTTTTTCCGTAAACAAATATTTGATTATCTATGAAAATATTAAATTATTAATTAAAAAATTCTCATCTTTATTAATGTGTTTAAGTTTTAGGCCTAAGCTTTATGATTATATCTTCTAGGCCTATTATTATTATGAGCTGACCCGTTTGTAAGCATACACTGCTATTTAGTTTAATTTTCTACTTTTCAGTAATTCATTATTTGTGAATTCAACACTACTGATGCTGCGACTGAAAATAGTTTGCTCTAAAATACTATTAGTATTACGATTATCCTCCCCCGCCCTGGAGAGCGAGGGAGGGGCTGGGGCGGTGTGCATATATGTGGTGTCCCAAATGGTCCCTTCATGAGAAGAATTATATTTATATATTATTATTGGTTAGAAAAAAGGTTATTCCCATTCGGCCGACGACAGCTATTTTAAGGCTATTCCAAGTTGACATTCCCAGTTGGATATAATTTCAGATAATATAAAAAACAATAGCATTGATCACAACTGGGGAAGGAGATATCTAGATCTAGTAAGAGAGCAGAGCTATTATTTTGCGTTATATATTTATAAGAAAAGGTTTAAGTTTATGTTCATATCTGCTATGTAAATGATTAATTATGCACTCTGTTAAATCTGGCCTCAGGGAAGTTTTTAATTAAAAGCTTATAATTACTTTTGAAGGTTACAATTGCCATTTACCAGTTATTAATTAAGATAGAATAAATACCTGGTAAAATAGCATGTCCATTTTAATAATAATAACACTAATAATAATAATGATAATAATAATTTTAATAATAATAAAACTTTACATCGGGATAACAACAATTATACAATTTGAATTGTTATTTAACAAAATGAAAGTGAGTTTTTCACAAATAACAGCAAAAATCTAAATTGTGAATTCCACCAGATGCAATCATCTTCAAAAAGTATTTTTATTGATACTGTGGATGTGCATATGTTGAATTTAACATCAAAGTGCTAGCATTTTAAAACAAATATAAAATTTGAATAATTAAAAGAAATGCAGGTTATTTTAAAAAAACAAACCAGCTTAATCATGTAAATAAATCAAAGTATTTATACCAACCAACATAAGCGACAGTATGATTTTTTCACAATTTTTATCTCCCCCCCCCCCCCCTCCATCTAAATGTCACACATCATCACACCTCACTACCACCGTTCTCAAGAACTATATTTTAAAAAAATTAGTGAGTTTTTCCTAAAAATTTACTGATCTCTTTCAACACACAGGTGGCCTCAATTTATTAATTTATGTTGAAATTTACAAAATAAAGCAACGGCTTGAATTCAGTTTCTAACATCATTATTGCAAAAGTGTGTCATCATAATTTATGAAATCTTCCTCACATTTACACAAGTTCGAACATCATGGATGATCCATAATAAAAAAAAATGGCACCTCTTTAGCAAGTGAGTGATGGAGTAAACAGAAAAAGTGATCATAAGCCTAAGGGGTCATCCATAAATGACGTCACACTTTATTGGACAATTTTTACCTCCCCCCCTCCCCTCCATCACACATCGTCACAAAAAGCCAGACCCCCCCCCCCCCTAAAATGACATCACACCTCAGTCTACAAACATCCACTTCTCAAGCAAGGCATAGGCTGAATTTTCCTTTCCTTGCAGTTTTACATTTAGCTCGTTTATTTTATTTGTGATATCTACCATGAAGTTGAATGTTTCAATTCAGGATGAACAGTTTAATAGGAAGTACACTGAAAATAGGGAGTTTATGATTTTATAAGTGTTGCAGAACAATATTTTTATGAGTTTTGAAAATAAAATAATTATTAATATTTGTGCATGGAGCAGAGGAGCCGCATCTTGACGTCAAAAGAGCTAGTAATAATTATGATTAATATTATAATATTACTATAATATAAAGTCTAATTATTAGTTAAACAAATTAACTTGATAATGTTCCCTACCTAGAATAGTTTCGAAGCTATTCAAGAGGCTCTTTAAATATTTTTTAAAATCATGCACGGTGTAATTAAAATTAATTTTAATTAATATGGTTTTAAAATCCTGACTGTTTGGTTTTTGTTGAATTTTTTAAAAGTGTGTGTATTTGACCTTTTAATATTTTCGGTAGGGGGCCTACTTATAAAAATTTAAAAATAGGCTAAGGCACAAGCAATTTAGTTTTCACATGGAAATTGCGACATAAAGAAGACATCCCCTGCTGACGATATTTCGAGTCGATCCTTTGTAAACAAAAATGGCAGAACTAGGATGTGATTTAAAAAAGCATAGTAATAGTAATATTATCTAGATCTAAATATTTAATGGGTAAAGTTTTGAAAATGCAGTATGATAAGTATGATGTGGGGGCTGTCAGAATATCAAGTTCCTGTAGCCTACAGCCTATCAAAGTTTGTCTTACAAAAGAAAAATGAAACATTTTCTTATAGATTAGCCTTGATGACATTAAATAAATAGAAAAGTAGCCTTAATTAATAATTATTAATTAAGTTTTTCAGTAATAAATTAATTAAGACTAGTGATGTTTTCATCAGATAAAACAAATTAGAAGCCATCTTGTTTAGTTTAAGTTTTTTTGGTAAAATTATAGCGCGAGGTTCAGGGAAACCACTCTAATTTACAGATGGCAGTATTCAGTATAGGGGTCATCCATAAATGACGTCACGCTTTTTTGACGATTTTTACCTCCCCCCCCCTCCCCTCCGTCACACGTCGTCACAAAAAGTCAGACCCCCCCCCCCCCTAAAATGACGTCACACCTCAACCTACAACCCCCCTCAAAATTGCAGTTGAATTTTTTTAAAACATCGATATTTTTCCAAAATCTTGTCTAAACTATTACAATTTATTAAAACAGTTATCTAACACGCGAAATAACGTCTAAAATTCGTTTTCTAACATTGCTTTTTTATAATGCAAAAATGTGACGTCGCAACATTTGAACCCCCCCCCCCCCCTCCCCCTCATCACACATCATCACAAAATTACGGACCGCCCCTCCCCCCTACGAGTGTGACGTCATTTATGGATGACCCCATAGTTGAGTATAGTAGTGACTAGTGACTCATTAATTTTAATTAATTTAATAAAAAAAATTAATTAAACCTCAGGTCACGGGCTCTGGTGTAGAGTTAGAGCCTAAATTTCAGATAGATCTAGCTAGATCTAAAAATAAGTAATTCTGAGTAGACTCAAAGTAGTCAAAGATCTAATTTGAAATTTGACTACTAGATCTAGATCTAGATCTAATTAAATAAAAATAATATTAAATAAATGTCAAAGAATCATGACTATAGTAATTTATGTCCACAGTATAGCAGCTAGACTAGATCTAGATCTAGTCTCATTATTGTTGAAACTGAAATAAAATAACTTCCGTAAACAAATCTCGAATTATTTTGAGTAGCTTCCCTTCTCTTAAAAGATTCTAGCTACAAGTCAGCTTGATTACTTCATTTAAATTTTAAATTAATAATATTATATTTAGGTCTAATCTTTATTTTTAAGTAAATGTTAATCTAGAATTTATATTGTGTTTCTACGGACAGTAGTTTCAAAACTGGGAATGTGGACCTGGAGACTAGACTAGATTCTAATACATTACTACTAACTAGGTCTAGATCTAGATCTAGATCTAGATTAGATCTACTTACATTTTACAAGAATATTACAAGGAGAGGAGCAAAAGGGCACTTTTCAAAAGGCAAAAACATTAAAAATATTTAAAAAGTAAAAAGTACTAGATCTAGATATCTAGATCTAGTCTAGATTCTAGATCTAGAAATCTAGATTATTCTAGATCTACTAACTACTAACTACTAGATCTCTAGATCTAGATCTAGATCTAGGCCTAATCTAATACTTATATATTAATATAATAATAGGCCAACTAGGAACTATAATCTAGATTCTAGGCCTAGAGTTAATATAAAGTAATTTACTAAATAGTAAACTAAATACTAAATACTACTAACTAAACTAAAACTACTGTAACAATAGGTCAATGCCTACACTATAAACTATAATTCTATAATTAATATTAAATATAGGGCCTAGGCTATAACTGAGGCCCTGCCCTAATGTAACTAGAATCTAGAATCTATTATTATTAACTAACCAATTCCTTAAGAATCATAAGAATAGATAGTGTATACACGTATAGTATAGGCCCTACTATTTAAATTTTAATAAATTAATAGCCTAATAAAATTTAATTTTAATTATTAGAAAATGGAGAGCTATTTGGAGGGGCCTTCTACTTCTAGTGTCACTAGTGAGGAAAATGACTTGATAATGGTAATGGAGAATGAGATAAATGGCACTAGCTGGTCATTAGATGAGAGTTCTCCACCAGAAAATTGTTACTATGTGATACATGAAACAAGTTTTACCATTGATGAAATGATGGCTGCTACTGAAAACAGAGAGCTTGTTGTGAGGGCTGATGATGAAGGTAATTAATTAATTACAGAAACAAAGATCTGTACCCATAAAAGTAAAATAAGTCATTAGGCCTATTAATTTATTATTACTATTACTATTTTTCAATAAACCGGGAGTGATCTCCCCTAAACTTTCTCAAATTTTCTTATATGAAACAACAGTGGATGGCAACACGGGATATAGTATAGACATGATTTTTAATCCATTTAAAATGCTTAAACTTTTTAAAATAGATTAAAATCTCTTAGAAAAAAGATTTACACACCAATATAATTTGCATAATAGTGCAGAATATTATTAGTACTTTATAAATTCGCATGCATTTTTTGGGAAATCGGAATTTGCGAAAATGACTACTTTCGGTCAACAGAAATTACTCAAAATTTGATAGAAGGCAGAGAATTAGATATTTTACTTACATGTGAAATTTCATTTATCTATCTGAAATAGTACTCAAGTTATAGGCTTTTGAAAATTTCAAAGTAGAAAAAGTTCCACTTCCAGTTATTGGAAATCGCTCAAAAGTTGATACGGATCTTCGATTTTGATATAATTCTTATATATGAAATTTCATCAACCTAGCTGTAACGGTACTCAAGTTATCGTGTTTACACACACACACACACAGACAGACACACATACACACACACAGACATAGGGCCTACAGACAAGATTGCAAAACTATGTTTTTTCGACTCATGGAGCTGTAAAATCTCCATTTTTTTTTTTGAACGGTTTCAAGACTTTCTGTATACTTCGTATATAGAGAGAAAGTAAAAAATGATCCTATTCCTACTTTCTCTACCAAAATAAATTTTAAATGATTACTTTTATATCATAATCATTGCAATACAGTTTTAGATGTACAGGACTTATATATGTTTTGTTGTTTTAAACAGATTCTAGAAATTTGATTCAACATACAGAGGAGGACAGCTGCTCGAAGTAAGTTTTTTCAACCTGTAGCAATTCTACTTTAATCAAATGTCAGTAGCCCAGTTTACTTCTAAAGATCTTTATCATAGACAATGACATAGGGACCTAGAATACTCTTTACCTTTTGATTAGCCATGCACCAAAAAATAATTATAAAATTAAAGCTAGAAAATTAATTTAGAAATAAAGTAGTCTAAGAACTTCTGTTGTAAACTTTGCACATTTTTTATTTGATGCTACATGACTATTTGCATAAACCTAACTGAGATTGACATATTACCTTCATGTTTTTTTTTTGCTGAATCATTTTTGTATGACAAACTTTGATTGGCTATCATTTATAATTAATTATAATCACCATCAATTTTGTGATATAATTTTCCAGAAAATATTTTTTTCTGTTACATTTGAAAGATGTTTAGAGCAGCACACTTTTTGTTGATTGTAATACATTTAAAAAATTTGGAAACATATGCTTGCCTGGATTTTTTTCATAATTTTCTATTATATTACTGAACAGCGTGCTTAAGTCAATTTTTTTTCTTAAATTGTGTTGAGGTAATATAAATAATGAAAACAAATTCATCCAGTTTATAGAAAAGTCATTTTAAAAAAGTTTAGATTAATCCTGTCTCTGTGCACCATATTGAATGTATTTTGCGCTGTTAACATCAGTAACATCATACATCTAGAGGAAAGTTTTTAAAAAGTGACACCATGTAATTTGTTTGTCGGAGAAAAAAAAAGAATAAAAGCATGTTAACTTGGTTAAAACTATTATTATTTTAAAAAATAAAGAAATGAATATAGGAAGGAGAAAGTGGAATGTTGAATAGCATATTTTCTTTAGGGGGAGGGGGGGGGGACAGGACAGAGGACAACAGGACTTATTATTACTTATTGCATTACATAATACATGGATGTCGCTTATTCATAACATATTTTTAAAATCTTATAACAGGGTGAAGCAACAAGGCATTGTGGTTGGAAAATATGAAACTTTACTTGATTGTTTCTCAGAGCCTACTGATCCTCTACTAAATGGTTATTTTATTCACAGTGTGAAATTCTCTAAGGCAAAAAGTTTTTCTGCACTGTGCAAACAAATTGCAGAGACACATAACCTCTTTGATATAAATAACTCAGTACTTTGGAATAGATATTTCATAACTGTTGTAAAACTAATAAAAACTGTCAAAAATTTAAGAAAGAAACAAATACTTTACTGGCAAAGACTTGTGGACCTGTTCAATACTCCTTTCAGTTTCAATAAATCAAATGAAGTAAAAGACACTAAAAAACGAAATTCATTAGCCGTTCAAAGTTTCTTCAAATGTTGTGCTGATCCAAGTTCTTCTGCTGGTAAAAAAATGATCACAAAGGGAGAAAGTAAAAATGGTCTAAAAAAAGAACCCAGCTGTCCTAAGTGTCAAAAGAATAACAAAGCATTACTTCAGCGTAAAAAGACAATTATAAGCCTTAGAGAAAAATGGCGCTGCCTTCCAAAAACTGTCCCAAAATTACAAAAGCTGCAGCAGGCTGTACTGAGCACAACCACAGAAAATGAGAAGTTGATGTCAGAATTAGAAGCAATTTCTGATATGCATCACAACTTGCTAATAAAGGTGCAATTAAATAACATTGAAATAGAGGAGCTGAAAGCAGAAAATGCCTCCCTGAAGGCAGAGAATCAAAAGCTGGTAGAAGAAAACACCAAAATGAATGAGAAGCTTTCTACTGAGTTAATTTTACCTTTTACTTTAAAAATGCCTTAACTTGATTAAAATAAACAGTGAGTGTTTAATATTTGACAATGCTTAGTGTATTTCCTCAGTTATTCAAATTATTCAATTACTTTTTATAGTAAGTAAGATCAGTTAAGTGTCTTCAGCTCTAGGAATTATTACCTTTACCAAAGTCATTACTATAGATAGAATAAACTGACTTTTCAAATGACATACACTACCCCTATTGTTTATCTCTCTGTGTAAAAAAAAAATTAAAAATCAATATTTTTTTATAAACATGTCTGATTAATTTTTATATAATATATATATTTATTTGCATTGTCCTTGTAGTCATTTAAAAATATTTTTTCAGGGAATGAAAATTTTATGATTAAAAAAAGCGGTTGTTGTAGTGAGATTAATTATAGTATAGCTTATGATTAACGGTGACAGTATTTTGGGCATAACTAAATGTAAACACTTCTAAATCCACCCCTCCCCACTCTCTAGTCACACTTTATCAGATGAGTGGAAACTACACTATCAAAATACAAACCTGCTCACATTGTGTTTCATATATAGACAATAATTGCCATTTATTTTCTGGGTAGTCAATTACGTCTGTGTTCTATTTTATATTTAAAACAACAGGCTAGATGACTGACCAAATTAAGTGGACTAAGTTATTCTAGCTAGGAACCTGAACTCAAGACTTTCAGGTTAGCAGTCAAATGTTCTTCTATTTGACCATTTTTTGTTGAATGTGAGTTTTAAAGTGACATAACTGATTCAGAACTATAATTTGCTTAGTGTAAGTTTCATTAATTGTGCTCTTTACGGAGCGTGCAGCACCTTCAAGAGCAGACGGCCACCCCTTTTGTCACCACCCAATCGCTGCATCTGTACATCTTTATCACAAGCTTCTTGAGGGGCATAACCACCAGTCTAGGTTTATACAGTGGGAGCTTAATACATGTGCTATTTTTTAGAATTTGAAACTACATTTGTATTTGTGAATACTTACCAGACATTATGTTACCTTGATGTTATTTCTTTTTTTTTTTGCTGAATCACTTTTGCATGAACATCTTTGAATTGAATTGCTAACTAAAATCAGGATCACCGTTATTTATGTTATATGATTTTCCACAAATTATTTCGTTCTGTGACATGTGAAAGATTTTTAATGCATCACATGTTTTGGTCTTTGTAAAAGACCTACATTTATAAAAAAAATCTGAAACTAAAAGTTATCCTTTGAACTGGATAGTCCATTTGGCAGGTGAAGTAGAGTTCACCTTTTTGTTACCTTGGCACATGACAGGGTGGTGTTCTCTGCACTATGCTCTACTGTCTCTACTTTCCATAATATGTGTCAGTTAACCATCGAGCCCTGGATCCAAACTTGTGACATAATGGTTAGCAGATACCATCCAACCATACTATCCCTTGAAACTAATACTATACTTGTACACATTCTGGGAATAATTTGTCCCTATGATATATACAAATTGAATGTCAGCATTGCCTAGGTCTCTAGTTTTTTTATGCTATTAGCAGCAATAAAAATCAAGCTTTCTTGGTAAAATATTGATAACAACTTAGTTTATTTAAATTTAGAAAATCATAAAAGGAAACTGTTTCAATATGCGTATTAATTCATTACATTTAAAAAAAAAAACTTGTTCAATACACAGAGTAAAAGAACAAGGACTTGTGGTTGGAAACTACAACTCTCTACTCAGACTGTTTTACATAACCTACAGTATTTATACACACACACACACACACACACAGTGCTTGTCTATAAGCCCCTATGTAAACCAAGCAAAATATCTCCTAAAATTTGTAGACACTAGACAACCTGTGTTATCTAAAGGATAAATGTGGGTAGAAAGATATCTTGGTGGTACAAGCCAGCCATAACCTGAGTTGAATCAGAACTCACAAACAGTCAATATGTCGCCTTGTACGGAGTGTTACAAGCAAATCTAGACAACACTAGCATAGAGTTGACCCCCATTCATGTTCCCTCTAGGATGACAGGCTGTAAGAGGAGCCACTTGGAGATTTTTCTTTCTCTTCTTTTTATGGTCCACTTTTTTATATTTCCTTCTGATTCTGACAAACATCCTCTCTACCACTTTGGGATGAATTGCCAATTTCTAGAATAATTTAAGTGAATTTTTTTTATTGTAAATAAAAAAAACCGAAAGAACAAAGTTGTTTTTCTCATAAAGGCATGTTTATTTTAACATAACTTCAATAAACAGAAATATGTTTATTAAATTAAAAATTGTTTAAAGCAATAAAGAACCAAAACAAAATAAAATATTTATAGCTACTAGTAATAGTCAGACAGAGTTGTTTTTCCTTAACACTGAATCTATAAGCCAAGATTTATCATTAATGCTGGGTAAAATTAGAAGCCATCTGTGACCTGCCCATTATCTGTATACTAAGATTTAATGACATATTAACAACATAGATTTACCCGATCTCATAATAAATAAAATAATTACTTAAATAAATTCTGTGTCATTATGAAAAATTAAGAATATATATACTAAAAATATTTTTTTCAAAATCTTTAGAATTGATGTAAATGTAAAGTTCCCTTTTTTATCCTGATGGTCCATGGGGTAAGTGAAACAGAGTTCACCTATTTCTGTGAACTACACAATATGAAGATAGGATGGCGTGGCCTAGTGTGGACTGCTAACCCGAGAGTCTCGAGTTCAAATCCGGGTTCAAATTAGTGGAAAGTCCCTGAGTCCACCCAGCTCTGATGGGTACCTAACTTACATTAGGGAAACAAACGCGGCTGGGCATAGTGCTCACCACACTATCCCTTGGCATATGCCAAGGTCAATGTATCAGATGAACTCTACTTCATCTGCCCCATGTGTCTTGGGCACGAAGGGGACTAAGAAGAAGAAGACACCATATGAAGAGATAGTATGGTCAGTGCAGAGGCGTAGCGAGGGTGGGGGGGGGGGGGCGGGGGGTGTGGACCGCACCGGGTGACACCATTTAGGGGGTGATGCAAATCGAAAGTTTGAGGGGGGGGTGCAAATTGAAAATTTGTCCCCGGGAAGGGTCGCTTTGCCTCTGGGGGGGGTGGGGGGGGGGGGGGGGTGACACCATTAAGTGCCGCACCGGGTGACACCCGACCTCGCTACGCCACTGGGTCAGTGCAATGCTGACTATGCCCAAACACCTTTACTTTCCCCAACTAAATAGGTATCCATCAGAGTTCGGTGGACTCAGGGGCGTTCTACTAATGTAAACAAGGATTTGAACTCGAGACTTTTAGGTTAGCAGTCAAGCATAAATATAATTGTAAAAATATTTTCTTGAAAGATTTAGCATGCTACTTTTTAAAAAAAATTATTTTACTTTAGAAAATTTACGAAACATGTAAATTTTCAACGTCACAGCAACAAATACTTATAACAATTCTGTCAGCATATCTAGTAAGCAACTCTTTAGGTTTTACCTATAACAGATTAAAGAAAATACAGGAATAACAAAAATCAACTGTAGTTGTAGCAGCTATTTAAAAAGATACACATATCAAAGTCCTTCTTGTTTGTCAGAAAAATAATTTACATTCTGTAATATTTTTATTTTGTTCCTTGATACATAAATAAAATAAACTTTTAAAAATTTTATTTAGGGAAACAGGAAGTGCATAAATTACAGGCATAATATGTACAGTTTTAAAAACATGCTTGAGTTCAAGTTTTTTTCTTTTGGTGTATTTTTTTTTTCCTTCTCATTAAATCTATCAGCTCTAATGAACATACACAAAGCACAGTCAAGGTCATAAAAACATACATGAATCATATGTGGACATGTTATCTAGCTCAAAGTAAACTTGTGATATTGTAAGAAGAATTCTAGGCAATTAACAATCAATGTACAGATGCCTCTAACCATGGGGGCTAAATCATTTACAAATTTTATTGTTGCCCATGGTATAAAATAAAATTCTTAAAGCAAATGGATTTTTAGAAATATATAAATTGAAATTAATCAGTTCCTTTTCAAGATCAGTAATTTATATCCAGTATTTTAAGACAGATTATCTACTAGCTTTGAAGGTAATTTATAATGCACAGCCACTTGTCAATAATGGATGTGAAATTAATTAAAATTACAATATGTTATTCATTTACAAACAATGATCATATGATTTTTATTGTACAATGTTTGGTAATGACAATCATAAGACAACTTGAGAAAATATATTAAAAGAAAAGTTTAAGTTTGAAGTAAGTTCATAAAAAATAAGGCAATTTAAATAGCACATAACAGTTATAGGAAATAAACGCTAACAGACATTTAATAAAATCTTCTTTGAGAAGTTCACTGTCTACATCACACACTAAAAAATACTAAAGCATGTTCTGAAATTTCTCTTATGTATCAGTTACTTCTAGCATTAAAAATAAAACATTTTAGAATCACACTTTGAAAAGGATTACAATAGTTTATCAAATTTTGTATTAAAAATTAGAAATTAAAATTTATTATTTTCCATATATTGATATAATTTACTAAAAATAATGAGGAAATATATTTTGCACTTTTTCTATCGGCATACATTTTATTGCTGCCTCTGACAATTTAGCGAAAAAAGTGCTAGGCTTAATTATCTCAAGTTAATATTTTTGATATAATTCCCCAAAATCTTCTAACAGATTTTACATTTTCAAAATAAAAATGTTACAAATGAAATTGCAACTAGAAAATATTTAATAAGCACATAAAACAATATTTATTATTTGAAAGTTTCATTTTCGTATGGGAAAAGCCATCATGCTTGTATGATCTTGCTTACAATCAGGAAAACAAATAATTTAGGAATAGGAAAATATTTTAAAAATCTCCTTACAAATGAAACATAATTACACTGTTTAATATTCATCATTATTAGATGATTCCTTAATTTAATTTAAAACTGATTTAATCCTTCCATATAGTGGAAGTCGATATATTCAAAAAAATGTAACATCTATAAACTTGTTCACAATGATAGTAGGCACAAATGTTGAATAAAATATATTTGATAATTTATACATTTTCTACAATTATACTTAAGTGCTGTTGCTAGCTAAACAAAATAAAGAATTGAATGATTGAAATGAATGAAACATCTGATTTTCAGAAACCTTTAGTAAGAGAATAGTTATTTTTAATTGGGGACCATCTTTTGTTTAGGATTTAAATATCTGCTCTAATTTATAACTACTGTGCTAAAGTGTAAAAAAAATTCTTTAAACTAAAAGTCTTAATATATACATTGAACTACATCAATACCATAACAAAAGTATTGATCTTTATACCTTTGTATTTTAATATTTATGTTACAAAGGTTGTATCAGTAAGCAAAAAATTACAGCAAAGTCACTAAATTGTTATTTACATTCACATTTTAATGAAAATAAAAACAATAAAAAACATTAAATTCATGAATGAAAAAAACAAACAAAACTGAAGCATGCCAACGTGGCAATATGTACAATGTTGTTTGTCACACCTAGGACTTGTTGCAAAAATACTGAAGCTGCAAACCTGTATCACATGATCTAAGAAGTCAACTGAACTGCCCACATCTTAAAGCTTGGAACAACAAACACACTGACCGTTTAAAAAATAGAACTACAAACCTTATTTATGTAATGGGACAAATAATTTATTTCTAAACATGGAATGTGATAGTAAATACAGCTGAACTGTCTTTGTTGTTATAATTCACACACTCAAACATTCAGTCGAAAATTCATTAACAGACGGAATATAATCATCCTCAAATTGAATTTAGAATATAAGTAAAAATAAATTTTGAATATATTCCAATAAAATCTTGTTAATCATTAGAATATAATTTTAATCTTTGCTTAACCTTAATGTGAAAAATAATTTTTAAAATGGTATAATATAATAAACAAAAGCTTTCCGTAAGTTATATTAATAAAATATTACAATTTTCTTGAAATAAATTTTTGTTTTGATCAGTTGCATTACACCAACATAATTTTAGATTACCACTCCTTGAAATATGAAAGATAATGTTAGTTTAATTGACTGAACATTCTATATTTTATGTAAATACAGTTTACAAGACAAGATAATAGACTGAAAAGAATCTAAATATTTTTGTTAAAAAAATTATAAAAATCTAGCAAAATTTTAAAAATTATATTGAAAAAAGAAACAGATCTATGATTACAATTTCACATAGACCTTTCTGAATTGTAAGGAATTTAAAAATATTTTCTAGCTAAAATTGCTAATCATTCAATTTAGCCAAAACTTTAAAAAATACAATGTGCTAACATTATAGAAATCTATAATGTACTTGCACAAGCAAATCTGTTAATGATGTTGACTTGGTAAAAACATGGAGTGAATATAACATGGATCTTCCTCACTTCAAAAATACATACTCACAGTGGATATGATTTAATAAAGTTCTCTTGAGAATGTTATATACATTAAAGCACATGAAAGTATATATTAAAAAATGTTAAGTATGTCTTTACCCAAAGTTTCTTTAATTGTCATTTAAAAACATTAATCATATAGATGGGGCATTAAAAATATAATAGTATGAGAACTTTTTACTGGAAAATGTAAAACTGTTTATTTTTAATTAAAAAAAGATATGAAATAATTTTAAAAAAACCAAGCCATGATGTTGAAGAATTTTTAAAATCTTCTCTTTTTGATAAAATATTTTAGGAATAGGATTGTTCTTCTAATTTTAAATAAAATTTTGTGTTTTTAACATTTAAAATTAAGCTTTGGTACGTTAACAGTGAGTATAATAGTTTCTGAAAACAAATGATAAAAAAAAAAGGAAATTAGAACTCTGGTAAGGCAGAACATTATCAGTGAGGGCATTTTCATTTCAACACAAGTCGACACAAATGTTTTAAAAAAAATGTATTAAGAACTGTTCAATTAAGCAGTAGAACATTTTAACCATGTATTTTTTATATTAAAAAACATAAATTTTAGTTAACTAGTGTTTGCATTTGTTCATAAATTTTAAGTATATAACTGAAAGTGATACTAATTAATATTCAAGAACACTAAATTTAATTAATAAATTAGTATAATTTATATAACGCAGTAGATTATATTAGAAATCAACTTTAGAGGTAAGCAGATATTTAAAATATTTCTTTTAGTTTTGATACATTATATTAATTATAAGGAATTTAAACAGTTTCTTTACTAGGCCTGCTGTAGACTAAATGTAGCGAAGGATCTGAGACTTCTTTGTGTTACATATCACATACCCAGGCATGGTCAAATACAAGACTAACTTGGTGAAAGGAAAATATTGTTACAGAGTTACAGTTACAAATCACAGACAGAACAAAGTAACCGAAAAAAGTTTAATGGTACATTACGGTCTTTAGAGCAATCAACAATGACTAGAATCAAATCAAAATGGCACAAAATGTCAACAGAAATAATCCACCAGAATCCGCTGCTACCTTCTACTGTGCCGTAGACTGTGTTTCAAGTGGATCAAAGAACTGGCGGACAGAAAATTAGTTATGGAGAAGAAAAATAAAGCACACATTAACGTCAGAGAAACATTGTTCATTGAGGCACGGTTGTTTTTCCCTCGCGTCACGTCATCGACAATTATGTTGTTTTTTGGGTTCATGTATTTAGGGGCCCCACGAGGGCCCACGGTGCTGTTTAAACTGGGGCTCGGCTCCCGGTTAAACAGCGGGCGAAAGGTCACTTCTTGGGTTTTGGTACTTTCGTCCGTGTCTTCGCTTAAGTTGTCGCCGTAGTCGTCACTATCACCAGGCACGTGATGGCGTGGGCAGGTCATGGTGTGCTCGTTGCGGAGGTAGATGCGGATGCCAAAGACGTGGAACTCTGGGTTGAACATGCAGGGCGGCAGCATGGTCTGGTCAAAGATAGCCTGCGGAAGTAAATAATTTGGAATTTTTAAAACTTATAAATGTTGGGTTTTGTTGTAGTAAATTAAATAAGTTACTGAAATGTTTAACAATGATGACAGCATAGAAAATAATTTGGAATTATCAAAAGTTATAAAAGTATTAAAATAAATAAGTAATTGAAATGTTTAACAAGTCAAATAAAACAGCCTACAGTAATAGTATAGTATTAAAGTAAATAAAAGATTCTAACTAAAGCCATAATTAATAAGTGAAAAGACCAATTCAGGGTGTTGTGTAATTGACCATTTCAAGAAGCTGAAGAGTAAGTTGCTGCCAATAATGGTACAGAAATACTACAGCTTGAAAAATCTACAGTATGGTATGCCTCATATTAGTCTATAGTTCGAATCCCAAGCACGGATTTGTAGGATGTCCCTAAATCCACCCAGCTTTAAAGGATACCCAACTCACATTAAGGAAACAAAGTACATAATGCTGACCACACTGTCCCTCATATATCAAGTAATTAAAACAGGTAAACTCTACTACATCCATGCACATACAGGAAAAGATATTATGAGGCTAGTTCAGGGGTCGGCAACCTGCGGCTCGCGAGCCGCATGCGGCTCATTTGGTGTCCAGTTGCGGCTCTTTAGCTCCATGCACAAATATTAATAATCATTTTATTTTATTTTCAAAACTCATTAAAATATAAGTCTGCATCACCCGGTAATAAAGGATATAACAATAGATATAAACAATAAACATTCACTATTATATTAGAATATTTAGTTACTCCCTATCTCAGTGTACTTCCTATTACATTGTCCATTCCGAATTGAAACATTCAAGTTCATAGAAACTGATCCAGCTACGCGTAAAACTAAAAGGAAAACCTAGTGTATGTCTTGCTTTTTATTTTTTTTATATATAAGGTGAGCATTTAATTACTTAATTACGAAAAATCTGAAAAAAATATCGTTAAGAAACCAATGCTACTATTCAATCACTTCAGCATTACTATAAACAAAATGAAGGATCTTTTCATGGAGGGATTTGAGCTATGCAAAACAAATGCAAATACTCTGATTTTCATGGTAGATCCTCTCAACACAAATTCTAATGAGATTATTTCATATATTCAAAGCTATTTATTTTAAATTATAAGTATATAGTATGATATTTGTTTAGGATTATATATATATATATATATATATATATATATATATATATATATATATATATATATATATATATATATATATATATATATATATATATATATATATATATAAATATAAATAAATAAATAAATATATATATATATATATATATATATATATATATATATATATATATATATATATATATATATATATATATATAATACTAAACAAATAAGCTATTGACATAAAAAAGTTAGTGGCTCTTTAAAAACCGGGTAATGTTGTAAATTGTAACTTTTGGCTCTTTCGAGGTTGCCGACCCCTGGGCTAGTTTGAACTGAATACTGTAAATTACACTACATAATTCTTTATGCACAGCACTAAATGGTATTCACATGGGGCATCACAAATGAATGGCAGCTTTTCTTCAATTTCAATATTTAAAAAGTATAGACCTACTAAAACCTTAATTTAGTACTCAGTTATTTTTTATGTTTCTATTTTGTAATTTACTAAAGAATTAGAATCTAGATTTGAAAAGCCAAAAAGGTAACAACTCTGTTGCTTTTACAAAATGTTGACTTCTCTCCCTTGGATGACCATTCAGTTATTTTGGAAATACAAAATCAGTCTAAACGTATTGTGCGCCTTTGTTTTCAAGTTCTATATTCATATTAAAAAAAGCACTTAATTATTACTATGATTAATTTAGCAAGACCTTACACAGATTACAGTTATAAAATATTTAAACAAGTCATAAAAAGATTTACATCCAGATGTGTGTTTTTGTGTGTGTGTGAACGCGTGTGTGTAACGTGTAGGCCACAAGTGTGTAGTTCTCAACCCCCCCCCCCCCCCCCTTCTCACCATTCCCTGCAGCTATTTGTGTGGACTGACGTCATCACTGAATGTCAACAAAACGTGTCAATCTTCTCCCTATAGATCGGGCAGGTATAGATTTATCCGATATCAATGACGGGGTGGGACATTTGCTATAGACAGCTAATTGCCGCTACGGTAAAAGATAAAAATCTGTCCACTACCTTTTAAAGAAAAAAAACAAGACATCGGTTTTTGCTCAAATTTTAACGTTAGTCCCTGTTTTTTTTTTTCAAAACCTGATCTTCCGATAGTATTATAGCGGATTAGGGCCTATTTCTTATGCTATTTTATTTATCATGAAAGATAAAACTGCTTATTTTTCATCTTCGAATTTTAATTCTTTCGTTCTATTTCTTCGTTCTTAATTGTAATTTGGGAGGTATTTCCTCCAACACAATTAAGTATTGCGTGCCAACCAGTTAGGGGTCGTCCATAAATGACGTCACACTCACAGGGGGGAGGGCGGGCCTCGTAAACTTCCAACCTACTAGTTCAACTTCTACCTAAGCCTCCACATATAGGTTCAAATTTTACTTAAACCTCCACCTATAGGTTCAAATTCTACTTAAATCTCCACCTATAGGTTCAAATTCTACCTAAGCCTTTATCTATAGGTTCAAATTCTACCTAAGCCTCCACCTATAGGTTCAAATGCTACCTACGCCTCCACCTATAGGTTCAAATTCTACCTAAGCCTCCACCTACAGGTTCAAATTCTACCTCCAACCTACCGGGTAGAACTGTACCGAGTGCTTGAACCACTTGACGGGGGAGCGAGGCGACTCCGAGGGCGGCACCCCCTGGAACAGCCAGCCGAAGCCGCCGAGCTGGCCCTCGTCGTTGTACATCAGGAACACGGGGTAGAGGCGCTCACACTGGAGGTTTCTGGACAGGTTCTTGAAGTAGTGGCGGCCTGGAATAGAAGAATTTTATGAGTGGCGGCCTGGAATAGAAGAATTTTATGAGTGGCAGCATGGAATATAAGGATTAAGTAGTGGCGGCCTGGAATAGAAGAATTTTATGAGTGGCGGCATGGAATATAAGGATTAAGTAGTGGCGGCCTGGAATAGAAGAATTTTATGAGTGGCGGCATGGAATATAAGGATTAAGTAGTGGCGGCCTGGAATAGAAGAATTTTATGAGTGGCGGCATGGAATACAAGGATTAAGTAGTGGCGACCTGGAATAGAAGAATGTAATGAGTGGCAGCCGGGGATATAAGAATTTAATGAGTGGAGGCATGGAATATAAGAGTTAAGTAGAGGCGGTCTGGAATATAAAAATTTAATGAGTGGCGGCATGGAATATAAGAGTTAAGTAGAGGCGGTCTGGAATATAAGAATTTAATGAGTGGCGGCATGGAATATAAGAGTTAAGTAGAGGCGGCCTGGAATAGAAGAATTTAATGAGTGGCGGCCTGGAATATGTGCTGTGGGCAGCAGTTTAAAAACTGGCGTGAAGCGATTTTCACGTGGAAAAACATACGTTACTTGTGGGAGATGAATCTGTCATTAGTTGTGTAAATGTACATCAATGTATATATGTGTGTGTGGTGCGGTGTGTGTGTGGGGGGTGGGGGGGGGGGGTGGGAGTGTGGGATGGGGGCGATATCGCAAAAATATTGTTTGAATCTGCGGTAGGATGTATGTGAGGTGGGGGGGGGGGGGCAGATAGAGGGGGGGGGGCTTGGGTGTAGGTGACAATTTTTATGAAGTCATAATGCTTTGGATATTATATGCTTATACATTTTTTTAAAAACTACAGCACATACGTAAAGATTGGGAAAAACAACAACCGCGGAAAATAACATACTATGAACAAATGAAAAACTTTAAAACTAACAGCAAGTTGGCCGGCACCAATAGGCCTACCTGTATCATAATAAGAGACACTTTTTTTGGGTGGGTGGGGTGGCGGGGGGGGGGGGGGTGCGCCTAGCGATCAAGGATTATCTCTAACGTTTTATCCGGATTTTAGGTTAATTTTTCCGGACACAGTTTACCATGCCTAGCAAAGTACCAAACGTTCACTCTCAAACGGTACAATCAGCCCACCAAATAGGCAACTTCTGCTAAAAGCCAGTGCTAAAAAAACCCTTGTCATTTCCACTAACGAGTTTTAACCTGATTTGTGTGTGTGTGTGTATTTGTGTGTGTGTGTGTGTGTGTTTTGAGGAAGAGAAAAAAAAACAACTCCCCACAACAAGCTTTCAAATTAATGTTTTTAGTGTCGATGTTTACATAACGACAGCTTAAATAACAAAGCTCAGTTTGTGCAGCTTTCCGTGTAATTTAAAACAAAAAACACTTCATTAACGGTTCAAATAATTAAAATGCTAATTGCAACACATTCGTATTTTATTAATTAAAGTTTTGTATATGTATATAAAAATGTTCTTAATTGGGTATCCCATCAATTACAAATCATGGTATCAGTGGGGGTGGGGGGGGGGGGGGGTGGAAGGAGGGGTGGGGGACGCACAAGGTCGACAGGCGGGCAATGTATTTCGTCCCCCCCCCACTAACCCACTAAGAAATGTTAGAAAGAAATTCTGCATGGCATAGCTATTGAAACGAAATTCTTTCTTTAATCCTAATTATATTTTTGTCAATTAGGGTATAGTAAAAACAGCTCTTCTAGGTGTGTGTGATGGGTGTGTGTGTGTGTGGGGGGGGGGGGATATAGGTGTAGTGGTGAAGTATAATGAAAGATGTATTTCATTTCTTGAGGTGATAATTTTTTAATATTTCAAAATGCGTTTTTTTTTGGGATTTGATAAAAACAAAAAAACAATTGTGACATGTAGGCCTACACAAAAATATATTGTAATTATTTGTTTAAAAAAATAAACACGCCTCTAATGATTGGCTATGAGGAAATAATAATATATGTGAGATTAAATTTCATAATTACACAGGAAGTAATTAATTAATTTTTTCCCCAAACAATTGTAATTAAAATCTTTGTTTATTTTGAAATTTAATTATTTAAAAAAAAAAGAATAATACATTTTTAAAAATCTAGAGTTACCTACCCATGCTAGGCAAACAGGTGCCAGTTTTCCATTCGTCTGATAAATGGCGGGCTTCAAGTGGAATCTTCTCGAACTGTCTCTCTACCCTGTAGCCCATCTGGATATACAAGCCCTTTCCAGAGTGGGCGTGGGGCGTGTATGGCCCACATACGAGGCTGGGGTGCTTAAAATATGCTAGTGGGGTAGGGGAGAGAGAATGATTGAGTTTTACGTATAATTTTGGAGTGTGCATGAGGCAATCTAGTTACGTAATTGAGTTATTTTATTTTGTATAGGCTCCAATATAGCGCAATCATGATAATTAGCTTAGCTTAATTTTTTCTACGTATTTATATATATTTTAACAATATTTTTAAATATAAAAAAATTGCCAGTAATTATTAGCCTGTATTAATTAATGATTTAATAATAATTTTTTATGAAGGTAGAAGCTGTAAAAAGGTTTTTAAATTATTCTAAAATCCAAGTGGTTAATAGATTGCATATTTCTTTTACATTAAGGTTAAAATATTTCAATTACTTTCAATTAAAATTCTATGCAGTTTTAAATTTTAAAATAGCTATTCATTGAAAAACAAGAAACTAATTAAATTGTTTTCTTATGTTTAATTAAAATTTAATTAACCCACAACCATTATTTGCCGGTAATTATATCTTATTGCAAAATAATAAAGTATGAAGTTTACAGAGGTAGAATGATTGTAGGTCAATTTGTTGGGATAATGGGTCAAATTGTGTTTAATTAGTGTCAAGTTATGATGAAATAAGTCAGTCTGTAGTAAGTCAAGTTATGACGTAATAAGTCAGTCTGTAGTAAGTCAAGTGTCAAGTTATGACGAAATAAGTCAGTCTGTAATAAGTCAAATGTCAAGTTATGGCAAAATAAGTCAGTCTGTAGTAAGTCAAGTGTCAAGTTATGACGAAATAAGTCAGTCTGTAGTAAGTCAAGTGTCAAGTTATGACGAAATAAATCAGTCTGTAGTAAGTCAAGTTATGACGAAATAAGTCAGTCTGTAGTAAGTCAAGTATCAAGTTTTGACGAAATAAGTCAGTCTGTAGTAAGTCAAGTTATGACGAAATAAATCAGTCTGTAGTAAGTCAAGTTATGACGAAATAAATCAGTCTGTAGTAAGTCAAGTATCACGTTTTTGACGAAATAAGTAATTTTGTAGTAAGTCAAGTGTCAAGTTATGACAAAATAAGTCAGTCTGTAGTAAGTCAAGTGTCAAGTTTTGACGAAATAAGTCAGTCTGTAGTAAGTCAAGTGTCAAGTTTTGACGAAATAAGTCATTTTGTAGTAAGTCAAGTGTCAAGTTATGACGTAATAAGTCAGTCTGTAGTAAGTCAAGTTATGACGAAATAAATCAGTCTGTAGTAAGTCAAGTTATGACGAAATAAATCAGTCTGTAGTAAGTCAAGTGTCAAGTTTTGACGAAATAAGTCAGTCTGTAGAAAGTCAAGTGTCAAGTTATGACGAAATAAGTCATTTTGTAGTAAGTTAAGTATCAAGTTATGACGAAATAAGTCAGTCTGTAGTAAGTCAAGTTATGACGAAATCACGTTACCTCGGTTAAGTCAAGTTACCTGTCATAAGTCAATTTACCTAAGTCAAGTTACCTCGGTTAAGTCAATTTACCTATCCTAAGTCAAGTTACATGCAACAAGTCAAGTTTCCTGGGTTAAGTAACTTGTCATAAGTCAATTTACCTATCCTAAGTCAAGTAACTTGCAATAAGTCAAGTCACCTCGGTTAAGTCAAATTACCTATCCTAAGTCAAGTTACCCGCAACAAGTCAAGTTTCCTGGATTAAGTAACTTGTCATAAGTCAGTTTACCTATCCTAAGTCAAGTAACTTGCAATAAGTCAAGTCACATCGGTTAAGTCAAATTACCTATCCTAAGTCAAGTTACCCGCAACAAGTCAAGTTTCCTGGATTAAGTAACTTGTCATAAGTCAGTTTACCTATCCTAAGTCAAGTAACTTGCAATAAGTCAAGTCACATCGGTTAAGTCAAATTACCTATCCTAAGTCAAGTTACCTGCAACAAGTCAAGTTACCTCGGTTAAGTCAAATTACCTGTCATTAGTGAAGTCGCCTACACACGGTAAGTTACCTCGTCTACCTGTCACACATCAAGTTACCTTGTTTAAGTCAAGTTACCTGTCATTAATGAAGTCACCTACATACGGTAAGTTACCTCGGCTACCTGTCATATATCATGTTACCTGTGAAAAGTCAACTTACCTGTGATGGTGTACATCTGAACACCCGGGCTGTATTGCTCCAGGCTGAGGAGAATGGGTGGCATGACCTCGTTGGTTGGGAACTTGACCGACTCGTTGTTGGTGTTGAACCCAAACATGTTGCCGGGGATCTGTGGAACATTCAACATGTAGGTTGATACAAGTGCCGGGGGATTTGTCCATCAGATAACACGACTCGATGCATGGTATGTGGGAAAAGGTTAAACATGTTTTGTGGATATGTCGATTCACTCAGTACACGATTGTTATACATGTGCCAAGAACATGTTGGATAACTAAACAATTTCATACATGTGCAAAAAACATGTTGGATAACTCAATACAACAATTTCATACATGTGCCAGGAATATGTTGGATCACTCAACACAACAATTTATATACATGTGCCAGAAACACGTTGGACCACTCAACACAACAATTTCATACATGTGCCAGGAATATGTTCACCCCAAAAAAAAAGTTATCCGAAAAACGTGTGGAAATTCCCTTAGGCTGATGACATCTTTCTTTACCTAACAAAGGAAGGGAAATAACTCTGTGGATGAAACCTATTTTCCCCACATCAGATCGCCAGGGCTAAAATAGAAATGGCACGAAAATAGCCCTGGCTACGTGTAGTCTTAGGGACTAAAGCAGAGAATAGTATCAGTAGCTCAACCTAATCTAGACATTCACTATATTTAACAACTATTTTTAGCGTGCCACCTTCAAATATTTGGTAAGAAAAAATATGTAAAAATAGTTTAAAACATTTCTCATTGGGACTTGGTGTATCCACGAAAGTGTTCGTAATTTGAAGCTATCAGTGTACGTTTATATATATATATATATATATATATATATATATATATATATATATATATATATATATATATATATATATATATATATATATATATATATATATATATATTAAAGAAAAAAAATGTAGGTGTTCGTGTGTCGAAACTCTTAATGCAGGTGTTTGTAATTCGAAGCTAGCAAGGCATTTGTTCGTCGATTGAAGTTATCAAAGCTGTTTTATTTATAAATTGAGTCAAAAATGACGTACGCATTATGAAGCTACCCATGTACGGAGTTGTAATACGAAGCCATTTTTAAAGCAATACGTATCAAGAATACATGCATGCATCTGTGCTGTATGTATAGCCACCTGTATCCACGTAAGTGTTCGTAATGTGAAGCTATAATTATAGATGTTCCTAATTTGAAGCTTACATTGAAGATGTTTATAATTTTAAGATATCATTCAGATGTTCGTAATTTGAAGCTATCATTGCAGATGTTCGTAATTTGGAGCTATCATTGTAGATTTTCGTAATTTTGGTGCTATCATTGTAGATGTTAGTAATTTGAAGCTATTATTGAAGATGTTGGTAATTTGAAGCTACCATTGCAGATGTTCGTAATTTGAAGCTACCAGCTACATTCTTCGAACTCATCCCTCCACACGCGAGAAAGCTTGACCTCTGAAGGTCAGCTTCCCCTCTGAAGGTCACAGAGTGAGTCAAAACGTTAATAGGATCAGGCTTGGCTTTCGGAAACTTGTTTTAAAAATCACACAAAGTAGCCCCTCTCTCTAGATCCACCCCACCCCCTCCACCACACACACACACACACACACACACACACACACACACAACAAACACACGTGTGGCTTTGAGGCTGACCCCCCTCCCAATTGTTGAACCATAGTCTTTAGGGTATCGAATAAAACAAAAAAATAACCCCGCTCATCCCAGGATCCGTATGGTGACCCACGCGGAGAGTGTGTCCCCCCCCCCCCCCGTGGGTCGACACACGACACCCCGGGGGTCACGGTGACCCGGCCGGCGCCCACATGTTTATCTAGACGACATCCTCTGACTTGTCAAGATCAGTCTTAATCCGATGGGACCTAAAACCCATTAACGCAGGCACCAAATGAAGTAACTGACACTTTCAGAAGACTTCAGACGTGTTGGGGGGGGGGGGGGGTATCACGAGATGAAATTGTTTTATACTGTTCTAGTTTAATGTCGCTGTGAGGTAATTGATATAATGGTTAACATTTAAATACTTCAAATTGTATTAAATTCACTTTTACTAAGTTAAAACATTATGGTAATTGATATAATAGTGAAATATTTAAGCTCCATCCATACTATTACTTCAATGTGAATTAAATTCGCTTTTATTAATTGAACTCTTATGTCATTGTAATTAATATAATGGCGAAAGTTTTAAGCTCCATACTGTCACTTTGAAGTAAATTAAATTAGCTTTTACCAAGTTAAGTTAATACATTATGGTAATTGATATAATGGTGAAAATTTTAAGCTCCATACTATTACTTCAATGTGAATTAAATTCGCTTTTATTAATTTAACTCATATGATAATTGATATAATGGTGAAAATTTTAAGCTCCATACTATTACTTCAAAGTGAATTAACTTCGCTTTTACTAATTTAACACGTTACGGTAATTGATATAATGGCCAAGTTAAAAGGTTTTCTTTTATTTCACATATGAGAGAGGCTGTTTGCCTAGTCTAACTATTAAGTTTTTTTGCTCATAATTGATATACTGGTAAATAAATTAAAGGAGGGGGGAGAGAAGTCGTCCATAAATTATGTCACACTCTTAGCAAAAAAGGAGGTTTGTGTGTGTGTGTGGGGGAGGGGGGGTGGAGGTGGACTTGCAATGATGTCTGAATAGGTTAAGAGAGAATGGGTGTGTTTGTGGGTAGACTTGCGATGGTGTGCGAATAGGTATAAGGGAGGAAGGGTTGGGGGGGGGGGGTCAGAATGTGTGATGTCACACTCGAGTGTCTCATAATGTAATTACTGATACTGAAATTTTGCAATTATTTTGTATTATATTATAAAAAATCTTTTTTTTTTAAATTGTAGTAAATCTTCAAAAAAAAAAAAACAGGTTGAAGAAGTTATGGACGAAAGAATTTCATAAAACAACATTTAATTTGCTTTATAATATATTTTTGATTCATTCTAAATTGGAAATTATATTATTATGATTGTGATAAATATATTCAAACAGACGGTGTTAATTCTTAAAAAGTTGACATTAAATCCGTTTTTTTTACTAATGAGCGTTTAAATTACCTAATTAATTACCCCTAGTAATTATCTAATTTTTAAAATATTAAATAGCGAATATCCTGTTATCACTTGGGAATAGATGCTGTTTGATGAAGAGAAAGAGAGAGATAGAGAGAGATGGAGAACAGTGTGTGTGTGTTTGGGGGTGGGGTGGGGCATCGTGGACCCAGATTACTAAACTATCTCTTAAATAGCCAGGGTTTCTTTCAGACATTTTTCTCCAAGGCGGGGGACGAGGCACTTAAATTTCCGGGTGGGGGGGGGGTGTGGTTATATTTTCTATATAAATTATTTATTTATTATTTCGTCAGTGAGCAGGGGACGTGATTTCCCCCCCCCCCCCCCACCACGAAAAGATTGCCGGGGATGCGGGGGTGTTGTGGAAGACCCAATTAAGCCGGCTTTTGTTGAGACATTATTCAAGAAAACCGATTGGCGCCCGATCTAAATGTAAGAGGAAAGCTAGAAAAATCAACACCAACTTATACAGACTTATGTTAAAATATTTGGTCCAATGAAAGGGAGAAAAGTACACTCGAGATAAAGGGAAGTAACAACTAAAGAGGACTAAATAAATGTACTTTTAGTCTAGTGACGGAGATCTTGGTTGTTCTATTTGTGCATCAACAGTATATTGTAGATCCAAGGTAATAATCTCCCATCTGTTTATTTCCAGATGACGTCATAGAACCTCTACCTCGATAGTTCTCAGGTTTCTTACACTTGCAAGTAATATTAAAATTAAAGTTTAAATAAATATATATAAATAAATTGATTGACAAACTGCATTCTTCTTAGCAGATGTGGCCTTCAACTACTATTTCTGTTTACTTTAAAACAACCAACAACTTTTAGTACTATATTAATTTATTTGTCAGATCACGTTTCAAATAGACCTCCATGCAGAGGCGTAGCGAGGGGGGGGGCGGGGGGGGGGCGGGGGGTGCGGGCGGCACCGGGTGACACCATTTAAGGGGGTGGCACCAAGGCAAAAAATAGTAAAATATATAGAAAAAAACTTGAAGGGGGGGGGGGGGGTGGTGCTGCAAATCGAAAGTACGAGGGGGGGGGGCGTGCAAATCGAAAATTGAAAGTTTGTCCCCGGGAAGGGTCGCTACGCCTCTGGGGGTGGGGGGGGGGGGTTTACACCATTAAGTGCAGCACCGGGTGACACCCGACTTCGCTACGCCACTGCCTCCATGTTAATTATTATCGTTGACTATGTTTTATCGGGACCACCGTTAATTTGGAGCTATAAATCGCACCCCATTTTCGTTAAATATTTGTATGTACTATTAAACATAAGCAATGAGCCAATGAAGGCTAGTTTATTAACAATTAAATTACATTACTATGTGGCGACAAAAAAACAAAAATATCATTAACAAAATTGTTATTAAAATGGTATAAAAGTACATCGAATTTGTACAAAATAATTTTAAAAAGTTTGTTTTATCACTCGTTGTAATAACACAGCACAAAGTTTCAATATTTTATAATCCCCCCATTCGAGAGTAATCATTCTGCTGCCACGAACTATATATAGATATTATATATAATATATATATATATATATATATATATATATATATATATATATATATATATATATATAGTTCGTGCAGCAGAATGATTGCTCTCGAATGGGGGGATTATAAAATATTGAACTTTGTGCTGTGTTATTACAACGAGGTTTGTGTGTGTGTGTGTGTGTGTGTGGGGGGGGGGGGGGGGGGGGGGTGGAGGTGGACTTGCAATGATGTCTGAATAGGTAAGAGAGAATGGGTGTGTTTTTGGGTAGACTTGCGATGGTGTGCGAATAGGTATAAGGGAGGAAGGGTTGGGGGGGGGGGGGGGGTCAGAATGTGTGATGTCACACTTCAGTGTCTCATAATGTAATTGCTGATACTGAAATTTTTCAATTATTTTGTATTATATAAAATCTTTTTTTTAATTGTAGTAAATCTTAAAAAAAAACAGGTTGAAGATGTTATGGACGAAAGAA